TATACGGCTCAGCATCACAATTGAAAAGGCATTTCTGGCGATCGATCAGCCTAACAGCATTTATGTAGCCGAAATGCGCTCTTACTGGGCTGTCTTCTCTTCTCCTCCTCCGGCCTTCAGTGTTACATGTGGCTGATCCCGGCCCTTGCTGTTTTGAGAAGCTCAACAGAATTCTGAGTCGTTTCCTAAGAAGACTTGGATAGCCTGCTCCATTTGAAAGGTAGTCATTCATATTTTTGAGATCAATCGTGTTGAAATCGTGCTGTGAAGTCTGGTTTCTTAAGTTCGCTCGAAATTGCTCAATAGCTCTATTTAAAGTTAGATCTTCAAGATCTCTTCGATCTCCATTCAGTAAATTTAAACAACTGAGACAATTGTCGAACACTGCAAAGTTTACTTAAGTTATTTTAGGTTATTTGTCAGGCTGGTTATGCGACAGAAGTACTATTTCCGCCTGTTATAAGATTGAACACGCGACGGAAGTGTGTAAATTGCCACTTCAACAATTCGAGGATCTCGCAGTTTGAAGCGGGGGCGAAGTACGCAAGCAACAGTTGCGCTTACAAAGCATGGTGTTTTTCAAAATAGTGCCATACAGCGCATTAGCAGTTTACATACAGTTCCATACCACTAACGGAGAATAAGTAAACCTTAAGATCAAGTTATTACTACCCAACAAAAAAGCTAGCCCCGCCTATACCACGCTCACTGTGCCCTGAATACTTGTTTCCTTGCCTTTTTTGCGTCCTTGCCCCTTACTGTGGTGTAACTTTTGCGTCCACCCCTTCCCAGCCCCATTTGTTTCCCCGAAAGTTTGACTCGCTGTTTAACAACCGAATTACCTGAGACATAGCAATCTTCCCATGCTTGCACATTTTGCGTTCCGAAAACGGCAGCTGCAGTTCCATTTGTGAAATACATCCGTCCAATAGTGATGAGTCCACTGGCTTGAGTACTGTGTTAAATAAAACATCACATTTTTGTGAAAAGCTCTGGTTTTTATATTTTTCCTTTGTTATTAAAAATAACAAGAGGGTCTGTCGAGTCCATTAACGTGCTTCTTCTCGTGCTTCTACAAGCGTAATGCCCCAAAGGTAACATTTCTTAAAGAAAAAAATTCCTTTATGGCCGTTTCTCGCAACTGATAACGATTAACGAGAGTGTTTCATATTTATATGAGTTTTGAATTGAAATAGCCATCTTGAAGACCTTTCGGCGCTGTTTACCATTCGACTCTTTTTAAGGCCCAAGCCCCTCTAGCTTCGGAGCTACATGCCCGCAAAAATTGGGAGAGTATTTCGGGGAGAGTATTTCAAAGTCGTCTTGGTATCAGTGACGCCATAATAGCGTCATTAAAACCCTGTCATTCCATAAGCCATGCGGTGATCAGGGCCAATGTAATATATTGTCGATGCGTTCACATCTGGCGTTCATGGGCCCAGTGTCCAGATAAAATGGCCATCCACTGACTCTCAACCAATGTTTTGCAAGGTGCGATGACGTCATCAAATAAATCTTCATCAAACCATGGCGCATTGAGCAGCATATTTAGTTAACAGATAATTGCTTTTCCCCTTAAAAAGCATACCAATAGTTATAAGTGAGCTTGTTTCGTCATATCTCATGCCGGCTTCAGTATCTTCCAATGTAAAACATTCCCTTTAAGTCGATACGGCGATAACAGGTCGTAAAATAAATCATTGTGCGACAAAAACTAAAGACCTACCAAAAATGGTTATATCAAGGTCTGCGAGTGACACATAGTTGGTGAACAGGTCAACGCCATAGCTATTCCTTTTTCTGAACATTTTCGAGCTGGCAGAGTAATAACATCAATTATTACACCTATAATCTGAGTCGTCTCAGCACTGATTCCCACCAGAAACGTTGGCCCATCCTGGACTCCCGCTCGCAGAAATTCTAAAAGGAGTTGGTTCAGCATTTACTCAACATAAGTTGGGTTGTTTCCGGAGCCGATTCCGACCCCATCCGGAATTCAGCACAACTGTACCTGACAGTATCATGAGGCGTGAGACACTGTCGGTGCCTGCGGTGACACCAGACGATGGTGATGACGTCACGTTTCACTTTGCACGGCTGTGCGAACAGCAGTAGCCCACTGGCTGTGCTGTCGAGAGATGTACAAATTACAGACGACCGAATGCTTAATGCTATCCTATGATTAAGTCGTGGTGTGCTACAGATCAGAACCATATTCGTAAGCGTTCTGCAACACCTGGAGCAAGTGGTTAATATCGCGCCATCAGCCGATTGAAATGAGAGAGCCATCTATTCAGTGGGACGATCGGCGCTTCCCAAACCCATTCTTCCCCGGCCTGTCGACATGCAGGCGAAATCTGAGCGTCTGGCTGAAAGCTCCGCAATCCGACAGGTGCACTGATTCCAGCGTCCTGAATAATTGCAGCTGGGAGAGAGTGGATCAGAGGCGGCCAGCTGCCGAGTGTATAAAGACGCGCGCTCTACCAGCGCCCTGGGCCGCGATTTGCTGTTGATGTGCCTGAGAGGCAATGGGCCAGCCGGGTCTCCTCGAGCGCTGGGAGAACGTGCTGGTGTCGGCGCCCGGTGCGATTTGGTGCCGAAATGAGATGTGAGCCTTAAATACAGACACGTGGCGGTGGAACTTTCGCGATAGCGAGCCTGCAGGCCAAGCTGGTCTTGCTTCAATGTCGATGCAATTTAATCTTCGTACTAAACAGCGGTCTAACGTAATAACAGTGTATCTCAGAAATGTGATTGTCAAAAGCATATTTTTTACATGTTAGATGCTATGATTGAACTATTTGTCTGAGCAGCTCAGAGATAAATGGCAGCACGCCGGCCGATGCTGCAGAAAGTAAGCGGTGAACGTACGCGGGGCATCATCTGCAGCAAGTACGCGGGGCATCACCTGCCAGAAGTACGTGGGGTTATCAGTTGCAGGAAATACACGGGAGCATCAGTGTTAGGAAGTACGCGTCATTGTGCATTTTGCAAAATGCAAAATGCGTCATTCGCATCTTGCTTCGTTATTTCAAAACAAATACGTGATCATCGGACTGCTGTCGCTTTGACTCTGTTCCGGAAACAAAATCGTTTGTAACGCAAAACTATACAGTCCATTTAAAACTTGCGCGTTAGAAATTTGAGCTATTTGCTCGCCGACTGTTTTCAGGCGTGTTTTCCCCCAGCTTTGGAATGAGAACAACATGAAGCTGGATTAACATGAAACATGCAAAATTTCGTAATTGCGGAAAGGTCCTGCAGCACGGGTAAGCACCTCGGGGCCAGACCTTCATCAGCCAATATCGCCGCAGCACGAGACCAGCACATTCTCACGGAGGAGAGAAAGAGTAGCCGTACGTTCAAAAGTGTGGGTCCGTGTGTGTAGGCGGTAGTGCGTGCTCCAGTCCCAACCATAGATTCCTCCGTTTTGCTTCATTATAGCGTAAGGACAACTCATTTTGCAGAAAAAGGACTCCTTTATCATATAATAGAATCATGCTAGTCCATCAGAACCGATTCATCAAAAAGGTTTTCTAGCGTTGATCCTACTTAGAAGTGGTTGTGCCACATCGCCACTTGTCATTCACCATTGAGCTTACAGAGCTTTGAACCCATTGCGGTTGTCTTGCTCAGAATATGTGTATTGCACATTTTTTAGAATTCAATGACACGTGTTATACTGGCTATAACCAAGGAAATATTGAGCCCATAAGCTGAGCGAATCTCACTTTAATAGTGGCATACGTTATCAAGCCGAGCGACCCCGCTTAGACCGGCCCGGCCAATCGTTGCTGAACAACTGATCTCAGTTACATGTGGTTGTCCAGCAACAGAAATGTCGTTTTTGAGACGCTGTGACGGATCTGGCTTATGAAATTTGCCCGCAAGCTGTTTGATCGCTGCATTAGCTGAGCTAACCGTGAAGGACTAGTGCAGACGGACTAGTGCACACAAGGCTGAAAGCCAAGCTTCATGCAGTCTTTCTCAAGAATCGATAACGCCCGACGACGGCCGGAGAGTAGCTGGCTGGAAACTTGTGCACATACCAGCGCACTGTACCAAGGCGACAGTCCGAACAGTGATTTGTGTGAGAATGGTGTAATTTCACGCTTCTGTGGCCTCTTGAAATCTGTGTTACGACTCCCGCTGATGCATGGTGTTGCATAATGTCAAAAACAACGTCCGGAAGTAATCCAAGGCATGACTGCCGGGAAAGGCTAACATGTTGGTATGTTAGCGATTAAACGGTTGCGTGATGAAAAGTTACTTCATCGTTATCTTAATAAAATAGGAAACAACTACCGCCTGGCAGCATCCAAACCGAGCATTCTCATTCACTTAGAATGCATGAGCCCGGAGGGGGATAAATCAGCGCATGAATGATTGACTATTGAGGTTGTGTGCTGCTTCCTTGTTTTTGTATGGTCCATTGAGTCGGTAAATGCGATTTTCAGCGAAACATGACAGCAAATTTGGAGTAAGCCTGCAAATCTGGCCGACGCTGCAGAGCAAGGCAATATCCCGTTGGTTACCCAGTGTTACGGCGTTGGAGTGCCACCTGTCCCACGGGATGCCGCCTGATTGCTGTTTGTCCCATGCCGCAGTGCTGAACTGCTGACTGCCGTGCGGAACGGTACTGAAATGATACTTGTCCGGGGGTATACGATATACTTATGATGATTAACAGGCTATGAATAACGTAGAACAGCTTTGAAGAGGATTGAGCAGGAACGAGGTGACTGTAGTTTCTGGTTAGGCATGTGGACGCAATTAATCGGTGGAGCGTATTACCTGTACTAGGTTCTTCCCGTCGCAGAACGTTTCATATGATAACCTTATTTGCCCCTAAAACGTAAGAGAAAGGCAAACTGAAACTTGCAATTTTCAAGCAGGTAAAAGACCCGCTTTACAAAGACATTCCATAACGACCTACACCAGCGAACAATGAAAACGCCGTAGCGCCCAGAGAGATGACATTCGTGTGCTTGCGTTGGCAGGTCTCACTGGTCCCGGACAGCAGCGAGCGCTCCTTCTGCCGAACCCGGCTGGTGCGGCATACCAACGCGCCACTTTTCGACGAACGCTTCTCTTTCGACTTCCTGCCGGAGGACCACTGTAAACGGCTGCTGGTGTCGGCGTGGCACCGTCACCTGCGCAGAGGGTAGGTCCTCCCGCGGCGCCGTCACCTGCGCAGAGAGCAGGTCCTCCCGCGGCGCCGTCACCTGCGCAGAGAGTAGGTCCTCCCGCGGCGCCGTCACCTGCGCAGAGAGTAGGTTCTCCCGCGGCGCCGTCACCTGCGCAGAGAGTAGGTCCTCCCGCGGCGCCGTCACCTGTGCAGAGAGTGGGTCCTCCCGCGGCGCCGTCACCTGCGCAGAGAGTAGGTCCTCCCGCGGCGCCGTCACCTGCGCAGAGAGTAGGTCCTCCCGCGGCGCCGTCACCTGCGCAGAGAGTAGGTCCTCCCGCGGCGCCGTCACCTGCGCAGAGAGTAGGTCCTCCCGCGGCACCGTCACCTGCGTAGAGGGTGGATCCTCCCGCAGCGCCGCCACCTGCGCAGAGGGTAGGTCCTCCCGCGGCGCCGTCACCAGCGCAGAGGGTAGGTCCTTCCGCGGCGGTGGAGAACAGGTGAAGAGGGACTCGCGAGCAGGTGCTGAGATATGGCCTTGAAACTGAGACCCTTCCAGAGATCCGGTGCCGAGGGCAGGCCCGTCGATGAAGCCTTGCACCCGGCCCAGATGTGAAGTGTAATGTGTGCGGCGAGACGGAGGTGTTTGTTGTCACTGACATGGAGCCAGAACCAAAAGGGGCTACCTTTTCAATTGGTTTCATGGAATCATAATTATGATGCACGTTTGGAGCTCAAACATAGGCGCAACATTTCAGGCCATGAAGTGGGTCCTGCTCATGACCACATCATAACATGGTTTATGTCACTCAAGAGCTGAACAGGTTTTTTAATTGTACCTTCCAACCACCCCCAACAGGCGACCAGAAGTGCCTCTGTCCACCGTTGCACGCAGAACCTTATGTTAATACCGGCACTAGTAGATACAACGCTGACATGAAAACGACTGAATCGACACTCCCAGCTCCAAAACTGAAACCAATTAAAAAACAAATAATCAAGCGTGACCAAAGGGGTAAGTAATAGTCCATAAATGTCGTCATGATAAAATCGCTATGTAAGAGATAATTGAAAGTAGCCAGGTTCAAGGATGGCAACTGGCGTGCCGCTCATACAATTACCTGATTATTAGTGCTACAGATCGTCAGGTTAATATGCTACGAAGTGTCAAGGGCAGAAAAATGTCCTAGTTTTGCTGCTGGCATGCCGGCACTTCCACCAACCGCTAACTAAACAAGATTGCCGCCAGGTAGTGTCAGAAAGTGATGGCGATGCAGGTGATAAAAACTGCGTTCTAGTTTTAACACGCGCTCGGGTAGTGGTCAAATGGGCCCCCCCCCCCCCACAGAGGTTTTTCCTGAATGGTTTCCGAACGGCGTGGCATAGCCGCACCAAATTTTGCATAGCTGTAAAAAAAATTGAATAGTGGATCGCTTGACGTCAAAAGTTTGGATGTACCGTGCAAGGTCGCTGACCTATGACAGGTCAAAATCAGGCCATGGTTTCAGCGAAAGCAATTTCTAGGGAATCCTTCAATCTGATCCAACAACGGCGTGTTAGACGAAGCCACACATCTCTGAGATGCTTTCTTAGGCAATAGGGCAGTTGAATGAGCAAATTACATCGACCTGAGGTCAGGTATGAAGGTCACACCAAGGTCAAAACCAACATGTTTTGTTACTCTAGGGCTTGCTGTATGGGATAATTTCTGGTGCTCGTTTCGAATTTATTGATAGCAGGAACTGCATTATGCATCTTCCATGGACTTTTTAGAGGTTATTGACCTAAAATGACCCAGGTCAACATTTTGTTTTAGGAACATACTGTCTAGCGTAATCTTTGTCGCTTAGTCACATGCAAAACTCAAGGCAATCTTGTACGATTTTGGTCACCTTGACCTTCAAAAGGTCAAACACGGTCACTGATCTTGAATGAGCATATGACCTTTTGCTTAGAAGCGGTTATCTAGGTTCTGGGGCACTTTGGAGACCAACCTGGAACTTGACCTTGTTTAGCCTTTTTTGACCCGAAGGTCATGACCTAGGAACCTAAAACTTTGACCTAAAGAATTTCACGTGCAGGTCAACACACCCTGTAACTTTGGTGTTTCTAGCTTTCTTAGTTCCCGAAATCTCGGGGGGGGGGTCACCTTGGCCCGAGCGAAGGGTATCTATCCGGTCACCCGGGCGCTTGTTAAAGCCGTCTTTATTCGCGATTCATGCCATCATGATCCTGATCAGGATTATTATCGGTTCGGAATCACGGAAAATTGCGGTGGTTGAAGCTTGATTTGATTCAAGCTATAGATCTCACATTTCTGGTACACAGTGAGCGGATTCTTGTCTGCGGCTCAACATTGCGCCCATTTGTAGTACATTCAACGACGCATTTCAACGTTTCTGGTAAATAATAGAATTATAACGCACTTAACAGGAATCTAGCCTGGCAAGAAGCAGTATGTCAGGTAGCGCAGAAGCTCAACGATAGCACAGAGTCGCAGCAGGATATTACTCTTACCAATCAAACACGCTGTTTTATCTCACTGCTCCCGCGCCAGTCTGGGTATTTCTTTCATCCTCGGGATACCTCCACCGCTTCATCTCACCCAAATTGAATACAAATGTTCCGATTGATTTGAATAGATGTTGTATGTTCATAGTAAGTGCTTAATGGAGTTCCACGCGCGTTCCATGTTCCCATCACTCAAAGCAAGCCGATGTTGTTTACCGGATAATTTTCCCCAAGGTCCGCTCTCCAGATAGAATTGAGGAGGGTTTTGCGTGTCGCTCAGTAGCCTGATATAGCTGCCACAGATCAAGTTAACCCCGCTTGACCAGTTGCCAGCAAGCCTTTTTTCGGTACCCCCCCCCCCCCCCCTCCACTCCTGAGCTCGTACCAGCCCCGCTGCAATACAAACTCAACACCTTTTCATAAGGTAACGGGACCCGCTGGCGTGGCGCACGTAACAGTGTTCGCGCTGCACCGCTGTTCATGCTCCCGAGGTAGGACAAATGTACTCATTAAAAAGTTCATGCGACACAGAGACAAGTTCTTATTTATCTAATGCAGGCAGAGCGCAGGCAACCATTTACATTTTCTTTTATTCCTTGCCTTTGATTCGAGAGCCTGCAGCCGTCGGTGTTCACAACAAACACTCCTTCATTGGGCTGTGCTACTGACACTGCGCTAATGTTGGTATAGTGCCCATACTAGCACCGTTGGTATAGTACCTATACTAGCACCGTTGGTATAGTACCTATACTAGCACCGTTGGTATAGTACCTACACTAGCACCGTTGGCATAGTACCTATACTAGCACCGCTGGTATAGTACCTATACTAGCACCGTTGGTGCAGTACCTATACTAGCACCGTTGGTATAGTACGTTCGAGACGTAGACAGTAGCCCAAACCTTATATCCACCGATGTTGGCATAGTGCTGGCACGCGCTGTGTCATGCGTGCGCGGGACAGCATGAGGGATTGTGCATGATTGCACTCAATATGCCGCAGCAATGAGACGCACCGAACACACGTGTCCGAATACACCGGCGTCATCGATAAGATAGGTGAAGGCGTTTGAATTTAAATCTGACTGGACTCTCGCCTTTTTCCTCAAATGGCCTACAACGCACCACGGTAACACACAACATGTGTTGGAGAGTTACACGGGTAAGCGCGAGACACCAAAACGCGGGCACAAATAGGCAGGACAAGCTCAAGAAGGCCGCAAACCTAAAATGAAAACCAGCCTTGCTCCAGAAAAAAAAACATAACTCGGAAGACTTGCCTTTGAGGTCACACTCTACTGGGTACCACTGGTTACTCTCACAGGCCTACCACCATGCAGATCTCACCCAGCACTTTGAGGCCGCTGTATGTTTTAAGGATAAACATATTCATGAGAGGCGCGGCGTTCGCGCACTTTAGAACGCTGGTCTTCGGGGCGAATACCGCCAAGATTTCTGCTGAAAGCAAAAAAGCTTACTTTTAATAAAAAAAAACATAAATTTATAGCCTATGGTTTTAACAAATGGTATTTTGGTGTTCTATCTTTGTCTGCCACAGGTGGGATATTTATTGTGGCTTCTGTTCCTGCAGTTTGGCAAGTTGCAGGGATGTGCGTAATCTACTCTGCATTCGATGCCATAGGCTTGTGACAGGAAGCCAGGGAAGATATGGGTTTAGCTGGTAAGTGAGTAGGTGTGTGGTCATATGCTCCTGTTATCTTTGAGATCGTCTGGAGCACAAATTAGCTTACCAACGTCTTTCCTTTGTATAAAATACAATCACTAGAGGATTCCACCAAAAATCAGACGCGCGTGGGCTCTGGGATTTGCATTTTGCATTTTTGCATTTCTTTCCATGCAGCACCTATCGGGTTTGGTGGAGGGAAACGCCGAACAAATGTTACATTACCCTATAGTTGATGGAAGCAGTTGTCCGCGCCGCCCTCCCTTCAAGCGATAGAGCACATGAAAATCCGGGGGTGGTTGAACCTGCCGACGTGGTGGATAAGGTCGGCGACAAAAACGTATATATTCAGGCGAAGCTTCATGCAAAAAAAAAACGTTTCATAAAATTTTGGTGACTGCCAAGACGAAATAAAACAGCACACTATGAAAATTCAACATGAAGCCTCCATGCACAGATTTTTATCCTCCATGATAATAATACATTCCGTCGCACAACACAAGCGAACCTTTCCATAGACTCTTCATCGTACTCTACGGCACCATGGCATCTTTTCTATGTTTTCTATGTTTCTATGTTCCCACCCGGCGACAAAGAGATCCTATGTTTTTTAGTTGGTCGGCCGGCTCGGTGACAGGTCGGCGACAAATCAGTATATTTCCTATGGCGCGGCCGGTCGGCCGATTCGCCATTTTTACCAGCCCCCTCTCAGTGTATTTCATAATGTCAAAAACTAGACATTATGAAATACCGAAAAAGGTCTAGATATGGGGGCTCATCTGGCCGCAAGGGGATGTTTTAGTCGTTGCGATGCGACTGATATGAGGTAGGAGGGAGGGACTTTC